TAGTTCTGGCTCTGTATTCTTTTTGTCACGGTAGAGAAAGCCAACTGATTTTTGTATGTTGATCTTGTATCCTGCTACTTTGCTGAATTGGTCAACTACGACCAATAGTTTTCTTGCTGAGTCTTTAGGGTTTTCTAAGTATACTATCATGTCATCAGCATAGAGGGATAATTTTACCTCCTCGTTCAGGCTATGTTGTGGTGATGGTTTTGTTATGTGCCATCAAGTCGATGACTACAACCCTATAGACAATAATAGCTCTGAACCCTGCACTATCCTGAGCCAGCCTCACCATCTCCAACACATCTGCCCCCATTGCCAGTCTGTGTATCAATCCATCTCATCCAGGGTCTTCCTCTCCTTTACTGTCCCTCCATCCTTCCAAGCACAATGTCCTTCTACAAGGGCAGGCCCCTTCTGACAACATGTCCCTAGTATGTGAGACAGAGCTTCAAAATTCTTACCTCCAAAGAGCAAATTAGTTTCTCCCTCTCGAGGACAGATCGTGTGTTCTATCGGCAGTCATGGTATGTCCAGTACTTCTTTCCATGGGGCTTCCCAGTGAGCAGCTCCTGTCTGTAGGACATTTTCAAATAAATAGGGATTCCTGCATCCTCAGCTCCGAGCTGGGAGACCTCTACCTTCAGGGCCCACTTAGTTCCAAAGGGGCAGAACCTTAGAACCTCAGAGGTCAGCCTGTCCCCCTGCCTCCCTATTCAGGCATCCTCCTGCAGCCACTGACTGCTGTGTCCCTCTCAGCTGGAATAAGCTGGGAGCTCACAGACTCCTCTATACCCACCCTATTTCAGGGCGGCCCCTCAGGTAAATCTTCCTCCCCGACTTGGCCCTCATTCTGCCCTCTGGGCCTTTATTCCACATCTTGTTACATGATAAGCCCCCACATATTCAGCAGCCCAGGGTCTCTGTAGGTTGTAGTCAAGGTGTCAGCTTGGCTGCAGTCTCTTCCAGGTCACAGGAGTTCCAGGTCCTAGTGCAAGCTTACATGCCATTGGCAGAATTTGGTTCCTTGCTCTTGTGGTGCTGAATTCCCCATCTCCTAAAAGCCACTTACAGTTCCTGCCATATAGCCCTTCTCACAAGTCACATTACAGCAATTTGCTCCTCCTTCCAGGCTTCTGGGAGAGGGTTTTTAATGTGTCACACACCCGCAAAAACTCTAACCAGCTCCAGCTCATAGTGACCCCCTATGTGTCAGGGTAGAACTGTACTCCACAGGACTTTTGGTAGCTGATTGTATTGGGAGTAGATCACCAGACCTTTCTTCCAAAGAACCTCTGGGTGAGCTCGAACCTCTGACCTTTAAGTTGGTAACTGAGCTCATTAACCATTAATGCCACCCAGGGACTCCCATGCTAGCAAGACATCTCACATTGTAATCTCAGGAGAAGCAGACCTTACCTTGGCCACATGCCCCATTCTGTTGATCACAGGCCAACCCCTGGGTCTCTCCGCCCCAGATCCTACAGAACAACCTCTCCTCTCTCAGGCTGGAACTGCCAACTCTCGAGGCTGTGTTCACAAGTCATCTGCCCTAGGCCTCCCTCCTTGGGGCTGACAACCTCTAGGCCTTCCAAGGTGTTCCTGCTGACCTCTAACCCAGTCTGAGGTGTCCTGGTGGTACATTAGGTAAAGCACTCAGCTGCGAACCAAAGAGTGAGCAGTTTCTGGCCTTGGAAACCGCAGGGGGCAGTTCTACTCTGTGACACATCGTTGCTGTGAGTCAAAAGTCTAACGCAGCCAGTCTAGTGTGTCACGGATCTGAAGAACTGGTGTGCCCAGCTCCCTCACCCTGACCCCTGCACCCAGGTGCTAACATTCATGCCCTGGTGTTTTGTGTCCACAGGGAGAGAAAGGAGAACCTGGGGAGAAAGGTGACCCAGGCCTGGAGGTAGGTGGCACCTCCCCACCCTTTCATATTACAGGAGATGACCTGATGGGGGCTTTCTCAATGCCTAGCTCCCCACAGTTCTAAAAGGAAATCAGGAGCGCCTGATGCAGGAGGAAGAAACAGATTAGCTGCTGACACCACAAAGTGGGAGGTGCTGAGCCTCGGCTGCTCCTCAGTTTCCCCTTAACCAGGCCTCTCAGTGACGTCCTCCGAGAACCCGCCATGTTTCAGGTGCTGGAGTTGGGAGAGTATCGAGCAGAACCCCTGGATGGCTCCGAGGGCGGTGCTTTACAGGCCCAAATGGGTGTTAAAATGTACACAACTACCCTGAGTAATGGGTACTGGGGGGCTGGCAGCTCTGGAAGTCAGAGTGCATCAGAGAGACAGGCCTTTTGAACAGCAGGCTTTCCAGAGGCATGGGGGTGAAGAAGAAAACAGAAGTGTGGACTGAAGATAAGACGGCAGCAAGATTTTCATAAGACAGCACAGAATTGAACATATGTGTGAGCTCGGGGTGGGGGGGGGGCCTGGAAAACAGCCAAGACCAAAGGTATGTGAGGAAGAGGATGTTTGCTGAGAGAGCCTGTAACCCAGATACCACCTCCTAATGGAGAGACCACCACGCCCTCTCAGTCACAGCAAGGTCATTCGGCCTCAGTTGCCCATTAAATTTGCCAAATCCCATATGAATTTCATGAAAATAGACCAATGGATGTAGTATGCTATTGTTGTTCAGTGCTGTTGAGCTGATTTTGACTCATAATGACAGAGTGGACTGCCCTGCAGGGATGTCTAGACTGTCACCTTTATGAGAGCAGACCACTAAGTCTTCTCCCATGGAGCCTCTGGCTGGGTTCAAACTGCCAACCCTTCTGTCAACCACCAGAGTTCTTTAAACTATCTTACTCTTCTTGAAATGGATAAGCCCTTAAAGAAGTTATCCTTAATTCAACAAACACAATAGACACAATAATATGCCTCCCAGGCATTGTTATTGTTTTTGTTGCTAAGTGCTGTCAAGTCAAGTACGATTCACAGTGACCCTATGAAGAACAGACCTGAACCCTGTCCTGTCCGGTGTCGTCCTCATCATCTCTGACACACTTGAGCTCATTGCTGCAGTCACTGTGTCAATCCATCAGACTGAGGGTCTTCCTCTCCTTTGCTGACCCTCCACATTCCCAAGCATAATGTCCCTCTCCAAGGAACAGTCTCTCCTAGCAACATGCCCAAAGCATGTGAGATGAACCTTCACCATCCTTGCCTCTGGGAAGCATTCTGATTGCACTTTTTTCAAGATAAATCTGTTTGTTCTTTTGGCACCCCATGGGATATTCACCGCTCTTCTCCAACATTAGGTATAATTAAAGTAAAAATTCACACCGGCCTACAATCATAACAATAAGAGAAAGATCAAATAACAGATAATAGTGCTGAGAGTAAGAGTAGTCACCATGTTTGTGAGCTTTCCGTTGGCCGAGCTCTCCTTAGAGTCCTTCCTGGTAATTCTGTGGTGACTGATTTTCATTTCACTTTATTGGTTGTCTTTTACCTTGGAAATAAAACAGTCTTCGGAGAGGGGAGAGATCATGTTGGGAAAGGTGGGGGGCCAGAGAAATAGAAGACCCTCAAAAAGACAGGGTGATACAGTGACTGTAACGACAGGCTCCGGCACATCAGAGCTCGTGAGGATGACGCATTGCAGGGCGAGGTTCAGATCTCTTATTCACAGGGTCGCTATGAGGCGTCGTGGACTTGATGGTAACTAACACCAACGCCACAACAGGATATCACCGATAGAAGACTTATGAGGAACATACAGAACACAGGAGAATGGGTCTGATATTAAATGACCAAGAGCAGAGAGCCTACATCTATAATATCATCAGAAGCACACGTTGTTGTTATGAACCTAACGTTATGTGTTCAGACCCAAGTCATAGAGGACCCTCCAGCAGGTTTTCAGAGGTTGTAAATCACACGAGAGGAGATTGCCCATCTTTCTCCTGTGGGGCAGCTGGTGGATTTGAACTATATGCTTTTGGGTTGGTAGTATAACTCCTTACCACTAAGCCAGCAGAGCTCATGTATTCAAATATATTTTATACATTTTTTTAAAAAAAGCAAGAGAAGTAAAAAGCAAATTATTATCAGTACTGCTCCGTGAGGTAGACCAAGTGATTTAGTATTTTTTTTCTTGCAATATTCCTTTAATTTATAAAGCATTTTAATGAGTCTATATATTTCTTTTTAATCTTTAAAAAAATTACATGCAGTATAATTTAATGTTGAGCAATGCAGTTCTATGAATTATAACATACATAGATATTTGTATAACCACCACCATAAACAGGATACAGGTGTTACCTTTTTTAAAGTTAAAAAAAATTGAAAACTTTTTAAAAGAAAGTCACATTTACAATGATTTAGCTTTCAATAAGGAAACTATGATAGGATTTTAGAAGGGGTCGTGGTACTAGGGATATCGTTGCTGATGTTAGATGGATCTTGGCTGAAAGCAGGGAATACCAGAAGAATGTCTATCTGTGTTTCATTCATTACGCAAAGGCATTTGACTGTGTGGATCATAACAAACTGTGGCTGACTCTGAGAAGAATGGGAATCCCAGAACATTTAATTGTGCTAATACGAAACCTATACTTGGACCAAGAGGCAGTAGTCAGAACAGAGCAGGGTAACACTGCATGGTTCAAAATAGGGAAGGATGTACGCCAGGGATGCATCCTGTCTCCATACCTTTTCAACATGTATGCAGAGCAGATTATTCGAGAGGCTGGGCTCTATGAGGAGACTTGTGGCATCAGGATTGGTGGAAGATCTATTAACAATCTGCGTTGTGCAGATGACACAACCCTGCTTGCTGAAACTGAGGAGGACCTCATGCACTTGCTGCGAAGGGTCAAGGACTGCAGCCTTCAGTATGGACTGAGGCTCAATGTCAAGAAGACAAAGATTCTCGCCACTGGACCAATTGGCAGCGTCAGGATGGATGACGAAGAGATTGAGAGTGTTCACAGCTTCACTTTGCTCAGCTCCACAGTCAACACTCTTGGTACCAGCAGTCAGGAAATAAAAAAGCGTATCGCGATGGGAAAGACTGCCGTTAGGGACCTCTCAAAGGTACTCAGGAGCAACAGTGTCTCTCTGGAGACTAAGGTGCGCCTGATACAGGTCATGGTATTTGCAATCGCTTGTTATGCATCAGAGAGTTGGACAATGACTAGGGAGGACAGAAGGAGAGTGGATGCTTTTGAGCTGTGGTGCTGGAGAAGGGTACTGAATGTACACTGGACTGCCAGGAAAACAAACAGATTCATCTTGGAGAGGATTAAACCAAGCTGCTCCTCGGAGGCAAGGATTCTGGGGCTTCGTCTGACATACTTTGGACATGTTGCCAGGAGGGACGGGTCCTTGGAGAGGGACATCATGCTTGGGAGGGTGGAGGGACAGCGCAGGAGGGGAAGACCCTCTATGAGATGGATTAATTCGGTGACTGGGGTAATTGGGATGGGTGTGTCAGAGGCGGTGCGGTTGGCGCAGGATAGAGCAGGGTTTAGAGCTGTTGTGCATAGGGTCGCTATGAGTCAGAAACGACTCGATGGCACATAACAACAACAACAACAAGGAAACTACAGGACTGTGGAACTGACAAGTTCAAGGTCCAAGGGACGCTAGCCTCTGCATGTCTGTCTGGTGCAAGAACTCGCTCTGTGGTGGGCTGGCTGTGGTGGCCTGGCAGAAGAGTCCCTAGGGCCCTAAGCAGTGTATTTAATCCCTAGGAAGGTGAGGAACCTGAAGAGAACCACAAAGTCAAGGTGAAGTGACTGGGACAGAAAGGAACAGGCAGGTTCCTTTCTTGCCTCTTGAGGAGCTAACAATAGGCAAAACTATGTCTGTCTTCACTGAAGTCCAAGGTTCTGTAGAGAAAAAGAGTTCTCTAAGCTCTATCTGAATCTCTTCTTCTACAAGTTACTCCAGTTCCTCTCACCCTGCCCTCGAGCAATATCCAGCTTTCTCTGTCCATCTGTTATAAACCTGGAGGACTTGAGGAATATTCATTAGAAATATCTCAACCTCCCTATGTCCCAGGTTACCAACTTCTACTCCTCTAAGCCAAAAACTCAGGCACCCACAAGGCCCAGGCAAGCAACAATTAAATGCACGAGGTCCAGGAACAAGACAGCAGGGAGTGATGGAGATTGAGGTGCACCAGCAATCTCATGCTCCATGTAGAAGGAAACTGAACCAGCTCCAGATGATTGATACCATGGATGAAAAAGAGCCCAGTATTGCTGAAGTTCCTGGTTTTACAAGAAAATCCAGAACAGATGTTTGGGGGCATTTCCTGACTTTTTTTTTCAAAGTTACGCAGGACATTGAGGTTCTGTGGTTCTGACCTGTTCTAAGCCTTATTTAGGGAGATTATGTGTTGGGCAGTCACATGTTGACCACCTCTCAGCAATCCTGCCGCCTTTTGGACCTGGAGTAAGGAGGAAGGGCTCTTGGAGAAAAGCAGGAATAGACTGAACACTTGCCCTTTTTGGTTCCAGGTACCTGGGCCACCAGGACCAGAGGGACCTCCTGGGCCTCCGGTAAGTGTAGAGGACTCTCCAGCATTTCATTCCACTCTGATCAAGTCTCTGTTGTCCCCTCCCCATGGCAGACACAGGACTCAACACCACCTTCTCCTGGGACCAGGGGAGCTTTCTCATCCAAAAACTCCTCCCCACCTCCATCCCTCATCAAACAGGCCCCTTCCCTGTTTAAAGTATCCAAAAAGACTATGGGCTCTTGTTAAGAAGGGCTGACTATTCCTTGGAAAGACACATCATGCTTGGATAAGTGGAGGGTCTGTGAAAGAGAGAAGATCCTCAACAAGACAGAATGACACAGTGACTGCAGCAATGGGCTCAAGTATGTCAGAGATGATGCGGAATGAACAGGATAGGAGAGGGTTCAGATCTGTTGTCCATAGGGTCACCATTAGTCATACTCAACTCAGCAACATCCCATGACACTAAGGTACCTTGTAGTTCCGATTCCCTGGAAACAATTAGAAAGAATGTCAGGGTCCAGGGCCAGTGACCCACAGTGTCTTGCAACCCTGCAGGAGTTGCTCTGTCACTCAGTTCTGCCCAACGTTGAACTCTTTGCCATCAGGCTTCTGCTCCCCTTCCTCCTTTCTGCCACCATCTGGCAAGATGGCTAGGGTTAAGACACAGAGTGGTCCGTTTATCGCCAGCCTCATTGGCTAGTTCCACATAAGGAGACTTCTGCAAGGGAGCTCCTTCCATCGCGTCTAGTAAGCATCAGGGCACAAACCCAGCAGAGGCTGAGTGTGCCTCCGTTGGGGCACAATGTCCCCCACTGCCCTAGTTGTCCCCCAACACACAGGGACCCCATGCACAACAGAACAAAACACTGCTGGGTCTCGCACCACCCCGTGATCCACTGTGAGTCGGAGATCTGTGATCCATAGTTTCCATCAGCTGATTTCAGAAGTGGTTCAGCAGTGGTCATTTCAGTCTTGAAACTGCTGAGATCCCGTCAATGTCCCAGCAGCACAGCAGCCCCCACTAGTGGACAAAGGGCAGAAGGGCGACAGCTGCTAAAGAAGCACACTGGCTGGCCCGTGGCCCATCTCCATGTTGTTGTTGTTATGTGCCGTCGAGTCGTCTCCATGTAGACGATGAGAATTTGACCACTGGGCTACCACTGGCCTCTCTGAGTTATGGTTGTTGTTGTTGCTGTTGTATACTGTAGAGTTGGTACTGACCCATAGCTGACCCTCCGGCGGGCTTTCAGAGGCAGTTAATTGCAAGGGTGGAGGTTGCTCATCCTACCGCAAAGCCACTGGTGCTTCAAACCACATGCCTTCGGGATTGTAGCGCAGCTTCTTGCCACTAAGCCACCAGAGCTGAGTAATGGTAGCCAACATTTATTGAAACCTATGGTGTGTCAGAGGGAGCTCTGTAGGCCGAAGGATACGGAGCTGTGCTGCCAACCCAAAGGCATACGGTTCAAATCCACCAACTGCTCCTCAGGAGAAATATGGGCATTCTCCTCCCATGTGATTCACAGCTTCTGAAAACCCATGGAGGGTCAGCTAAGAGTCAGTTCTGACTCAACAGTAAACAGCAGCAACACGATATGTCAGGCATTGACCTAAGCTGTGTACACATTCTGATTTCTTTCATTGATGCTGTCCCTTCCAAGTGTCTCTTATGAGATTCTGGGTCAGTGTGGGGCCTACAGAGAGATTCTTGCTCAATCATGGGCTGGGGTGGCTGCCTCAGGTCTACCAGACTCTGTCCCTATCTCCCCCATCCTGGGAAGCCCCAAGCTTGTCCTCTGTAAAATTCTCTTCTACCTTTCCTAAGGACAAATCCCTGCACTAAACAACTAGACTCTAAAGTCCTTCCTATTTTGTGGCCTAAAGTGTGGGCAGGCAAGAAGTGTGATTCTGTTGCACCTTGTTTTGATTCCATGCAGGGGCTGCAAGGTGTTCCTGGACCAAAGGTAAGAAGAGATCATGGGACAAGGGCTGGGAAGGAGGATGGGGCAAGGCTGAGTCAGAGGGAGAGTGCTTTTGAGGCAGGAGGCACCCCAGACCCTCTTCCCCACATGGCGTCACATGATGTCTTGGCCTGAGGGCACCATCAGGGCTGAACGAGCCCCTGCAGTCTTTTTGTCACTGTCGCTGCCATCTGCCATGCTTTTGATTCAGAGTCTGCTCATCTACCAACCAATTGCATTGAGTAACTGGTTAGCTTCTTACCAAAAGAAAACCCTTTCCCTAACCTGCTCCGGACCCTCAATTCACCCTGAGGCATGAGTGGGAGACCAACAGTAATGTAAAGCATCCCCCTACTAGGCCAAGTTCATTGAACACTGGGCTGCAGCACTACTCGTCTTCCCTCAAGCATAAGGGGGCTCCCTCCTGCCCTTGGGATTCATGGCAGTTTCTTTACTCAACTGCCCTGGAAGCTGGGTGCTCTGATGGTGGTATGCATACACTGCCAGGAGCTCTCTGCTGGGTCCTTGGTTTCCTGCCTACAGGTGGTCAAGGTTCTGAACAATAGCATGACCTGACCTTCCATGCCCTGTAGGCTTGTCCCACACCACCCAATCCTCTTGACTCAGTGCCTCAAAGTGGTGACGGGAATCATTAGAGGAACTAAGGTAGAACCAGGCTAAGAATTCAGGGGTTTTTAGAGTTCAGAGCATACCCACCCTGAGCCAGCCGCTCCTTCTCCCTCTTCTTGCCTCTCCCCTCCACATGAGAAGGCAAAGTCAGTAGTCTGGGGAAAACTTCTCTGTGATACTTCCCCTTGTCTTTCCATCAGGGGGAAGCAGGACTGGATGGTGCCAAAGGAGAGAAGGGTATCCAGGGAGAAAAAGGAGACCGAGGTCCTCTGGGATTGCCCGTGAGTATCTTGAACCCAACAAGACTTCTGTGAGGTGCCAAGGGGTCCTCGGGACTGGGGACACTGGTTGAGGACCAGGGAGAGGCTGCATTCCAACTCCATGTGGCTGTGCTTTCCAACCTGAGCTAGATTAGAGGCTCACATTCTCGCGTGGAGTAGCCCCTCTGTGCCAAGCTCTGGTCTAGAACCCCAGGAACTGTAATGCTGAGTAAGGCAGAGTCCCTGTCCCCAGGGAGCGCCTGTGTGTCAAGCCAGAAGATGTCTGAGAACAGCACCAGGTCCGGCTTAGGCCTGATTCAGAGGCAATAAAAGTCTGCCTCCAAAAGGCCAAACTGATGGGGATTGAAGCAAAGGGCTAAGAGATGTGTGTTCTCCCTCCCTGTGCTCCTTTTCCCAGAGGGACCCGAGGACCACTGCTCTCTGCTCCTAGGCATTGGTCACAGAAGAGAAGCTGGTGAAGGGTTTGATCCTTAGGTCCCAGGAGCCTGAGGCCATCAGATCCCAGGTGCTCAGTGGTGTCTGGCCGTAGCTGCCCAGGGCTTAGAGGTACCAGCTCAGAGACAGGTTCTGCTCGGAAGGCACCCACATTTCAGATACAGGAACTAGCAAATCCCCAACCTTCATTGGGTGATTCTTTTCACCCTCTCACCTGTGTGCAGGTGAGCAAATCCTACTGCCCATCCCAGAGCCCTAGGTTCCATCCTCCCTTCCACTTCTCTAAGGTTGAAAACTTAGCATTCCAAGAGCTGGAGGAGGCTAGCTGGCTGTCTGATCATTTTACTGCTGAGCTCAGAGTAGAAAGTGAAGTCATTTGAGGTCACTTAAGAAGTCAGCGGCCAGCCTAGAGTCTGCAGCCTTGCAGAAGGGGGATCCCTCCAACCACTCAGGCTTCGTCTGTCTGGGGCTGGAGTCTAGTTCCCACCCCTGGAGGCTGTAAAGAGCCAGGGGAACAATGGGAAGCCCAATTATCGTAGCTTGGCAGAGCTTGAAGGTCTGGTTAACACAATCACAGCAAAGGCAAATTACACTCTCATTAATGCAGCAAATGTAGGCAAGTTTAAGAAGCTGATTCGCTTGACAGACTCCAGCAAACTGATGACTTTAACAGACATTTTCCCATGTCTTAAGCTACGTCTGGAATGATTAAGAACTCTTTACTAGGTTAAAAGAGCCTGCCTGCCCCCACCTAACCACAAACCTTGCCTTGTCCACCTTCATGGCTTCAGTAGCACTAAGGAGCCCTTAAGAAATTAGTCATGGGTTGAAGTTCAAATACCACCAAGGCCAAGCAGGTTATATAAACAAGGAGCATGCCAGATGAAAGCCAAAGTATCTGTCTTTCTTTTCCCAAGTTTTGATAGAGATGTAGATACAGAGAACTACTTTCTAGAGCTTAAGAAAACAACAGAACAAGAGTATTCCCAAGCAGCACTCACTGTGGTCGTCAAGGGAGACATTAGGGAGTAGAGAGGACTGTGGTGCAGTTCACATCATGTGTCCCTTCTTAAAGGCAGCCCTTTCTCCGCTTACTTGGCTGTTGTTTTGGGGAAATGTTGTTGTTGTGTGCCATCAAGTTGGAACTGACCCTCCAGTGGGTTTGCAAAGGCAGTTAATCACACAGGAGGAGATTGTCCATCCTTCTCTCTTGGAGCAGCTGGTGGATTCAAATCTCATGCCTTTAGGATTACAATGCAGCTTCTTACCACTAGGCCACCAGTGCTCCTTTTGGGGAAATGAGGGTCCAATATTTTTGGACTGCTGGGGACAGGGAGAACGTGCTCCTGGGCAGAAGGGAAGCCTGGAAGCTGCGCACCGGGGGAAGTTACCTCAGATAATAATGAAGAGGCATCTTTCAGAGAGGTACACAGAAAAACCGGCAGGCCCTCAGGCCAGAAAGGAAAACATAATCTACACAGAAGTTCTACAGGACATGTCACCTTCCCTTGGAGACAGTACAACTAAACTTAAGAGACACTGGTCAAAAGGG